TCCCCCCAAATGTTCACCTCCCCCCAAAAAATATTCACCCTCCCCCTCTCCCCACCATTCACCCCCCCTCCCTCTCCCCAACCATCCCCCAAAACCCTCCCCCCAAAAAATATTCACCTCCCTCCCTCTCCCCAACCATCCCCCCCTCCCTCCCCCCCATAAAATGTTCACCCTCCCCCCCATTCACCCTCCCTCCCTCTCCCCAACCATCCCCCAAAACCCTCCCCCCCAAAAAATATTCACCCTCCCTCCCTCTCCCCAAAGCCATTCACCCTCCCTCCCTTAACACCCCACCCTCCCCCTCACCCTCCCTCCCTCTCCCCAACCATCCCCCAAAACCCTCCCCCCCAAAAAATATTCACCCTCCCCCTCCCTCTCCCCAACCATTCACCCTCCCTCCCTCTCCCCAACCATCCCCCAAAACCCTCCCCCCAAAAAATATTCACCCTCCCTCCCTCTCCCCAACCATCCCCCAAAACCCTCCCCCCCAAAAAAATATCTATTCACCCTCTCCCTCCCAACCATCCCAAAATATTCACCCTCCCCCCTCCCCCAACCATCCCCCAAAACCCTCCCCCCAAAAAATATTCACCCTCCCTCCCTCTCCCCACCATCCCCAAAAATGTTTCACTCTCCCCCCAAAAAATATTCACCCTCCCTCCCTCTCCCCAGCCATCCCCCAAAAATGTTCACCCTCCCTCCCTTCCAGCAAATCCGAGTGCATGGAGAAGTGCCTGGACGAGCGTCGTTTCGTCTGCCGTTCAGCTAGCTACGAGTATTCGCGGCGCCTCTGTCGGGTGTCGGATCAGAACCGGTTCTCTGCCCCGGCGTCGTTCCAGGCCGCCCCCAACGTGGACTACATGGAGAACCAGTGCGCGCCCAGTACGTGTATATATGTAGGGTTCTAAGGGATGGGGTGGTTCTCTGTCTCTTTTTCTCTCTTTCTCTCTTCTCTCTCTCTTTCTCTCTCTCTCTTTCTCCCTCTCTCTTTCTCTCTCTCTCTTTCTCTCTCTCATTTTCGCTGTCTCTCTATTTTTCGCTCTTTCAGTAATACTGGATATCACAAGCTATGATTATATTTGTTGCCTTTGTAATCAATACCATTTTATCATTCTATATTTCTTAATATGTGCAAGGTAAATGTACACCTAAAAAAAAATCAGATAGAATAAAAAACATCGTCCCTCAAAAAGAAGAAAAAAGACAAGGGAAGAAAAAAGAAAGAAAAAAAAGAAATCCAGAAATCGAACTAACATAGTTTCCCTTTCTCTCCCCGTTTCTTTCTCTTTCCTCCGTGAATCCAGAGCCATCCGGGTGCCGCTACACGAACGATCAGCGTGACCGTTTCCTCATCTACACAACGAAGACAGTGACCGCTTTCAGTAACGAAGAGTGTATGCGTGCATGTGACGTCGAAAAGGAATTCAACTGCCGTGCGTTTTCGTTCATGAGTGCGGTGAGATCTGCTATTGGTTCTGTTTTTTTTTTTTTTTTTTTTTTTTTTTTTTGGGGGGGGGTTGATATGTTTGTGTTGTTTTGTTTATTTTTTGGACTTGGTTTGTTGTTGTTCTTAGTTTTATCGTTACTCCCATTATTATTATTGGCCTTTATTATGATGATTGTTATTATTGTTATTTTACCATTTGATTTTATTATATATTACACAAGATGTAAGCTTTGATTTTGTTTGAAAATGTACATATAAAAAAATAGATGCCATATATAGTAATACCGAGTGATCACATACTATTAATAATAATGAATAAATAAATAAATATACATAAACACCCCAAAACAAGTTAACACACACGCACACGCACACGCACGCGCACGCGCACACTCACACGCACACTCACACTCACACTCACACGCACACGCACACGCACACGCACACGCACACGCACACGCACACGCACACGCACGCACACACACACACACACACACACACACACACACACACACACACTCACACTCACACTCACACTCACACTCACACTCACACACACACACACACACACACACACACACACACACACACACACACACACACACACACACACACACACACACACACACACACACACACTCACAAACTCACACACACGCACACACACACACACCACACACACACACACACACACACACACACACACACACACACACACACACACTCACACTCACAAACTCACACACACGCACACACACACACAACACACACACACACACACACACACACACACACACACACACACACACACACACACACACACACACACACACATACACATGCACACGCACATGCACACAAACACAAACACAGAAAAACACATACACACAAAAACAACAACTAATCATAACCGTAACCCAAGCCTTATCTCCCGCTGTCTCCATGCAGGCTGGCACCCCCCGCGACCAGTGCTACCTGAGCGGAGACACAGGCACCAACGCCGGAAACAACGCATTCCAGTTCCGCTCCGGTGCCATGTTTGCCGAGAAGGAGTGCACTGATTATACAGGTGTGTAGAATGGTGTTTTTTTCTCATTATTTCGTATATTTTCGTTTTTATTTGTATTTGTTTATCAGTATTTTTTTGTTTAGGAGACTGGGTAGAAGTATAATGATGTGGGAGAGTGGGAGTGAGAGGGAGTGATAGTGTGAGTGAGAGGGAGTATTAGAGAGTAATAGTTTGAGTGAGTGAGTATTTGAAAGTGAGAGTGAGTGAGAGTGTGAGTGAGTGTGAGAGTGAGTGAGTGTGAGTGAGAGAGCGAGTGCAAGTGAGTGAGTGAGAGAGAGCGAGAGTGTGAGTGAGTGAGTGAGCGAGAGAGTAAGTGAGAGATCAGAACAGGAGACTAAAAAATATATACACTACAGAGAAAAAACAGACTAAAAAAGTATACACGTAATTATGGAATTGAGTGTGTTGACATAACAAATAGAAAAAATCAGAGTATGCCTTGTAAAATTATCATTAATTACTTCACATCAGTGGTTCTATTTTTTTAATGCCACGCCCTTTAGGTATTTGTCGTTCCCTCTAGCCCCCCCCCCTTTGTATCTATAAATAAACACTCCTAGAGTTTGATTACAATTATAAATATGTTCTTAGTCTTTCTATTGAGTATGAATAAGTCACATTATTGTTAAACTCATTATTTAACCATGCTTTCCTTAAGAGATTTACAAATATAATATGAAAAATTTCTGATTTGGAAATTACTGATCCCCCCCTCAAAGTCAAATACAATCCATTTTTTCCTAATAGTTTAACTGGACCCAAATCCTGTACACAAGCAGGAAATAGAGAGTAACTTAAATACTGCTTGAGTAAACGATATATGCATTGATTTCTCGAAGTAAAAGTTTGGATCTAAAAGTAGATATGTTTTCTTTTGTTTTTTCGCTAAATCTTTCCTTCCTTTTTATTGACAATAGTACTTTTATCATTATTCTTTTTCAATTATATTTCTCTTGTAGATTAAAGAATGGACTCTTGACTTTAGTGATATATATTTTTCTCTTATATGTATGCTTAGCTTTATTTTTAGCTTTACTGTTGTTTATGGGATTCTTGTATTTACGTTTTCTTTCAGTGCTATGATAAGTTTCAGATAGTCTTCATATTTCTATATTATTTTCTGGGATTGCCCTTTTATAGTAGTTTTGTATCAGTTGATTGCTTGAGAATTCATCTAAAGTAGTTTGTTGATATTTGAGGCTTAATATTTTCTACGATGTATGCCAAAAACTGATAACTGACTCTTTTATATCTTACATGTGGTTGGAAATGAACAAGTTCCCCCCTCTCGAAAGCAAACGAAACAAAAACAAACAGAAAACAATAACTTTCTTTAAAATTTGAGTTCAAACACGGGTCAGTTGCCAGTTTGCGGAAACTTGTCAATTCCTTCAGAGACGAGAATATTATAGGAGGGTATCGCACTATGCTGAAATCGGCCGTGTTCACTTATCATTATTGCGTGTGTGAAATAGAACCGTCACGCAGTATGATGATAATGTCAGTGAGTGAATTTCATAAGGATTTTCAGTGTCAGATATTGACTTTCTTAAACAAGTCACAATGTAATTATTTGTTTTTTAAGCATAGCTATTACTACAAGTATTATATTCTGTAACTACTATTTGAAAGATAATCGCTTACTTTTCTTTCTTATTTGTATGTGTTTGTTTTGAAAAAAAACATGAAAAAAGGCTCTTAGCGTATCGTGCCGCCATGCTTTAAATCGCTACAGAAAACGGAACAATAACACGAAGTTTAATATGGGAAACTATTGTAAATTTTGGCATAGTGTAATACCTTCCTGAACTCGCTGCTTGTAAGGAAAACACATTCCTAAGGTCTGTTGCACACAGGCACTGGAGGCACTGGCACTGGAGGTTCTACTGGCGGAGGATTCGGCGGAGGTTCAGGAGGTTTTGGTGGAGGAAGTGGAGGAGGAGGTTTTGGTGGAGGAAGTGGAGGAGGAGGTTTCGGTGGAGGCACAGGAGGAGGTTCAGGAGGAGGAGGAGGAGGGAGGAGGGGAGGTGGATTGGCGGAGGCTCAGGGGGAGGAGGCTTTGGTGGAAGTTCAGGAGGAGGAGGAGGTGGATTTGGCGGAGGCTCAGGGGGAGAGGCTTTGGGAGGTTCAGGAGAGGAGGTTTCGGCGGAGGCACAGGAGGAGGAGGGTTCGGTGGAGGCTCTGGAGGTTTCGGCGGAGGTTCAGGAGGTTTTGGCGGAGGCTCTGGAGGAGGAGGAGAGGAGGAGGAGGAGGCTTCGGAGGCTCAGGGGGAGGTGGAGGCTTCGGTGGAGGAGGCGGAGGTTTCGGAGGCTCTGGAGGATCAAGCGGAGGAGGCTTCGGAGGATCTGGAGGAGGCTTCGGAGGAGGAGGGCTTCGGAGAGGCTCCACCGGCAGCACAGGTGGGTCCTTGTTTCGGATGCTTTGCCCTTCCCCCCTAAAAAAAGTCACGTGACAGAACACCGCGTATCCGAGTGGGTCGGCGCC